AGTCTCCCTCAGTGACTGACCTGGAGGCATTTAGTCTCTTATCCTCCACCAATATTAAGGTGGCTGGTTGCTTATCCTTTCAGATAGAACTTTTCTTTTACAAAGGGATACTTGGCATTACTGTCTGTGATCTCCATTGCAATATCACAGCACCATAAAAGGATTTTTTTCTCCCTTGAGTGAATATTTAACGCATTTTGGAGAGAAGCCAACGTGCAGCAGCCTAGCAGACACGGAGGTTCTTTTGTAAAGCAGCTAGGAAAAGCGTTAGCTCAAGCTCTAGGAGTTTCGAGGGGAGTTTGTTACCCCCTGACAAACCTAACACACAGATAGCAAAACCCTCCAACAAATCCTTACTGATGGCAAGGAAGATGATGAGCTGTGTAACCTTCGGTCCAGCAGACGGGGCAGGGAGGGGCAGGAGAGAAAATAAAATGCTTAAGGGGCTGAAGAAGTTACATGAGGAAAGACAGCCCTTAAACGCGGGACTGGAATTAAGAATATGACTGTCTCCAGTCTTCCAGGGGTTTAGTGTGGAGATGTGCATCTTGTTTGAAAAAATTATAAAATTTACATTAAAATAAAAGATTCTGCCTTTATTACCTAGCTTTTTGATGCCATCGATTTCAAGACCAGAAGCAATCCCATTGACCAGTAGTCTCACCTTCAAATTAAGACCATAAATCCCATCACTCCTGAACAAAGTCCCTAATACTGATTGAACTAAAGGAAGTTTCACCAGAAACAGGCTGTTTTCCTGTTCCTGCAGCTTGTGCATCTCAGCAGGCTTAACCAGCCCTTGCCTGGGGCACTCTCTCGCAGAGCAATGAGAAAGGGTGGTGAGGTCGCTTCCTAATAAAAGGGACTGCAGCCCAGTAAACATCCCCAGTGGAATCAGGACAATTCAAGAGGGTACAATAAGTGCCCTGGGATATACGTGATTTACCTGCCCCAGGAGGAAGCTGGTATTAAGTCACCAGACTATCCATGGCCAGACTTTGTCTGGGAATAAGCAGCGCAGAGGGACTCAAGATGCCAAACGCATTGCCCAGAGCAGAAACTTCCTAAACTGCTCCCTGCTCAAGCTGGGTGGATATAGCCAGGGAAGGATACCTCTATTCAGCCCTGATGCTTTGACATTTCCCCGTGTATCCGCTGCCGGCTACTGTCAGTTGGCAGGATATTGGGCGAGACAGGCCCCTTGCTCCGACCCAGGGTGGCGGTTCCTATGTTTTCATGTGAGTACAATGAGAGCAGGAGCGAGCTAGCTGCCTGTCCCGTCCCCAAAGTGCAGGAAACTTCTCCGCAGCCAGTGCAGGAAACACGCATGCGGGGAGGCTTCCTGCCCTCCCTCTCACTGGAACTCAGGTTGGAAGAGGGAGTGAAATGATTTCTGACATGGTCAGTCTGGCTGGGCACACCAACTACAGCATGGGAGCAAGGGAAGTTGAGTTTCAAGACCAAGTGGATTTCTGCAGCCGTCATATAACAGAAAAGTATTGTCAAAAATCAAAGCCCTGCAGGACTGTGAGTATTGCCGTTCAGGTTAAAGGAGTGACAGCAAACCTGAGACATGGAGTGCTGTGCAGGACACAGATACATCTTATCACAAGGGACCTTACAGGTACACATTCCAAACACACCAGGGAGAAAAAAAAAAAAAATCAGCTGTGTCTGGACACTCCAAGTGTTCCCAAGGGAAACTGAGGCACAAAGAAATCCACTGATTTGCTCCTGCTCACCTAGCATGTTTATGGCAGAGCCAAGCGCCAAGTACAGCCCCCAAATTGTAAAATCATGCTTTCTCCATGTGTGCACCTTCTCCTTTCTGAGCAGGTGGTGCAGCCATCTCCCTTCTTCCAGAAAGCCTCCCACTGCAGCAGGTATTTCAAGCTGGGGCTGCAGGGCTGCAAATGGTTCAACACCAAGGCTTTGCAAAGATGTTCCTCCCTTGCCCCCTGCTTTGCAAGTGCAATTCTCCCAGGGAAGTTAAGTTCCCCTTATTCACACGGAGCAAAATTTCTTTCCCTTGTTTTTAGGAAGTGAACTTTGTGCCAGATTAAACATGCGTGGCAAATGACACTTTTGAGAGGTCCATGTTGCATTCTGTGAGGATTTTTGTCTGGTCCTGGTTGTCAGTGTCCAGGTGAAAGGGACAACCAACATGCTACAAAAAGCAGGAGGGGTTTTCATGGGAGAGATGATATGTAATTAATGATATGAGCCTCAATGACAGACACTCCTAGCAAACTTACTTAAAGGGCTGTTCAACTGCTTTGAATGGGTGGGAAGGTGAGATTTAAATCTGTGGCTTTAAAAATGCCTCCAAGGAGATGAAGGTGGTTTGTAAGGCGCTTCTCATGCTCTCAACTGTGTGGGCTATTTTAACTGCCTGCAGATTCTGAGCAGCACATGACATCCCAGCTGCAGCATAAAGGATATGAAAGACAAAAGACCGGATCACAAGTATTAAAATTAGTGGGAATTTAATGAAGACCTAGTAGTATAAGAACTCCTGGGAAAAAGCCCCAGATTTTCAATTACCAGCAACAGGAATGAAGTTGGCTCCCTGAAACCCACCATTGTCTGCCCCACTTGTGGGAGCCCAGCAGGGCTGGACAGAGGAAGGCGCACCAGTCAAATGGGTTGATGGGCTCTGGCGTTGGCCATCCTTTTGTCACCCACAGCAAATCCACAGCATCTCCATTCACTTTTGCTCTCCTTCTGAGCAGGCCATCTAGAAGTGTTAGCTTGGTTTCAGTCAATACATCCTTCCCACTCTTCCTCTTCCGCCTCCCAGTCTGGCTGCTACTGCATGAGTCAAAACCCTCCTTCACACCCTGCAGTGTTTCTTCTGAACCCTTGCTGAGGTTTCTACTGTCTCACCGTATCTGGGTACAGCCCATATTTCCTGTTGGCTGTAAAGGAAGGAAGCTTGCTACTTTCTAACCCTACTTCTAATCCTGAGACTATAGCGCAGCCAGACTCTGTGAGAGAACTCCAGCAAAGGAAATGACTTCACATCAGCATCGAGACGTTTTGCAGGTGTTCACAGCTCTGGCAAAGAGCTTATAGGAGCTTATACATATTCTTCATGGGGCATCTCTATACATAAATAAAGAGGGACACATCGCTTTAAAGTGCTTTCATACTACAATCTTGAGGTTTATTAAGGACACAAACTAATTTGCAGGTTACCCGTAATAGCTGTGATGCCAGTTAGAACTATAACAAGATCAGAGGGATTGCGAGATGCAATCTGAAACAAAACATGAAGACTTTTTAAAGGGCAGCTGATTCTCCATCAGCAGAAAACTTCTGCTGCTGTTTGACACAGCAGTCTCTATTCAGAATTACAGAAGGCAGAGTGATAAAATCGCCTCCTTTCTACTCACCCACAACATAGCTTTGACAATTCCAGAGACAAAGAAAAAAAAAAAAAGACAGCAACTAATAAATTACAGGTTAAATTTAATCTGTCTCAGTGAGGACAGGACACCTGGGGAAGTTTGAAGCATGCATCCCTGGAAATGAAGGCGACTGCCTCCAGAAGACAAGGCACTTGACTGGGGGGCAGGCAGCTGCAGGTACTACTCTCAGCACCAATTCTCTCCGTGGCTATCTGAGAAGGTGTCTTTGCTTTGCAAGCTCCTGTGAGCCTCTCCCACTTGGCAAAACTTTCTATTTTCACCTAATTTACCATCTTGTTCAGGGGAGAAATGAGAGATGAATATGGATCTGTCCTGCAGGTGGGAACCAGAGGACAAAGGCATTTAAGTGGCTGTGGTCACCGGGGGGGCTGTTGTGGCAGCTCCCAGGTGTCCCCCCGTTTGCAAATAATGGGTCTGAAGAGGTGTGAACCATCCTTTGGCATGTCTGTTCTTTCCTGTCCTGGGCTTCTCTCACCCATACTGGCCACTCCACAGCTTTCCTGCGAGCAGGTCTGGCTGTCCCCAGCTCTGTGTGCACCCTCAGAGAAGCAGGTGTCCATGGAACTGAGCTGCGCAGGGAAGTGAGGGAACACCCTTTGTAGCCCCCCTTTCCCACCACCTCAGCCAGGGGCTCACTGAAACCAAAGCACAATTGTCATGTTTTGGCTTGGTCCCTCTAACTCTAGAAACTGTCAGGAGAGACTCTTTGGGCTCGGTAGAATCTCGTTGGTTCTCCGTGAAGTCAGTTCCCCTCCTATCCCTGGACAAGAGCAGATGGGGAAGATAATGCACTTTTGGCTTTACAGATTTGATGTGTTTCCTTTTTTTTTAAGGAACTGCCTCCTGTGAGGCAAGATTTTTTTCAACAGCATGGCTCTAATTAAGCAAATCACTGAAATATGTGCTTAACTGTAAAAGTCCACTGATACTAAGCAAAACACTTAATCGTGAGCTTAAGTACTTTGCTGAGTCAGGGCTGAGTATGCATTCACCCTAATTTCAAGGTAGCAATTTGGATACCCATTTCCATTTCATTGGCCTTAAGGCCTTTTCCTTGACACTTATTCCTCAGAGACCTCAGCGTAGACAAGAACTAATGGTGGGGTGAGTTGGTGGAAATGTTGGTGATTGCATTTATATTACTGGGAGTGAGCTAATCCTGTCACGAATGAAGAGGCTTTGCAGAGGGGATAATGCCCGTGTGGCCTGTTTCAATCCCCAGTGACTAGTCCACGTGCACTTTGTGCATGAAGATATGTTGCACAGTGTGAAAAGCCTGTAAGGAAAGGAAACTGTATCTTAAAACTGCCTTTTTTTTTTTTTTTTTTAACTGCAGGATTTGCCATTGTAAGGCTGTCTGCTGCATCTCAACAGTAATAATGCCTTGAACAGTGTAAGGAGAGGTGATAGAGCCTCACCTGCCTAGAAAAGTCAGTGATTAGGAGCATTACAGGGTGAGATCAAATTCTGGACTGACTTACACCCTCTGTAATGCTGGTGGTACCGGGAGGGCGGGGTGAAGCCAGGGAAGAGTTTGACCCCTCCTTGCCTGACCTGGCAAAGGGTTGTTCAGGCAGTCTCGCATTCGGTGGTGGCAGTGGAGCAGATGTCGCAGTCGCAGCGGATGGCCACCGGGTAGGTGTAGAAGGGATCCACGTCAGGGGCACACTTGGGCAGCTTCACCGTCATCATCTTGGTCTCGTTGTAGGTGCAAACGCGGTGGTAAGACTCGATGTAAGGCGGTTCCAGCACCGGTTTCTGTGGGAGAGAAATGCCGGTCTCAGGCAAGAAGCAAGACAAACATCTGGAGTCCCAGTTTCCTCAAGGGGGATTAGTGGAAATAGAGGAGCTGATGGATCAGGTGGAAGGGGCCACGGAAATAATTTTTAGGATACATCCTTCAATACCTGCCTCTTGGAGCCCTGCCATGGAAGAGAGTGGGTGTACGTGCACATTTCTGTTTGTTTAAAGCATAAAGCTGTAATTAAAGCTGCTTGAAGGAAGACAAAACCTATCCAAAAAGCTGGTTTTCAGCAGAATACTAGTGTATTGACCAAATGCGCATGTTTGCCAAAAGCAGCTGCTTTCTTCCAACAGGATTGATTTTCCATCACACAAAATGCATTCTGCTGGAAACCCTTCCATGTGCACGAGCTGCCTAAGAGCAGAGGCACATCCAGGTGCCAAACAGCTGTTCTTTTCTCAGCCAGACCAGTCTTCCCAGTCAGGCTGCGCGTCCCGCAAAGCCCAACGGATGCACACCATGGGAGATGCACTTGGCACAGCAGACAGCACAGAAGTCTGCAGTTCCTCATGAACAAAACAGCCTGGCCAGAGACATCAGTCATCAGGAGGTGATGGGAGCCTGAAGGTCCTGAAACCCACAGTCCCACGTGGTGTCACAGTGGCATTACTTTTGCTGATAAGTGAGTTTTTCCCTTGACAGGAGCACCCATTTTCCAAAGACTCCAAGAAAGAGAAGCACAAACAGGAATGGGAGTCAACCGTCACCCTCTTCCTCACATGGATGGGAAACAGCATAAGGAAATGCAGCCAGGAGACATGTTAATTTTTTCTTTCTTTCCCTCTGTGCTGTGCAAAGAGCCTGCCCTGGGAACTGAGAATGATGGCACAGAAAAGAACAGACGCAACATGTCAGCAAGAAGATATCTAGACACCCTCCCTCTTACCAATCCCCCCTATCCCAGTACATCATGGTGCTTTCTAGAAGCTGTTGAGCCTGCAGCCAGATGCATTCAGCCTAACTACATCCCAGTGGTATTGCAGTACGGGAAGAGAGTCTGCAGGCTCTGTGCTGCCAGAGGAGCTTGGGAGTAGGGGGAACCAGGTGACAGGAGATCCCTCGGAGGAACCTTATCCCACTGGGGAAATCTGTCCAGCAGTGGCCCTTTTCCTCATCCCACCAAGCAGTGAAAGAGGGCAGTCAGAGCTGGCGCAAAACCCTGGCTCCTCCTCTGCTCGCTTATACAGAGCCTTTGTCTTCATGTGGACAAAATCCCTCTGGAGTCACTCAAAGCTTCCCTGCATAAATTAAACTGGGTCTGGCCCCTCGAGCCTTCCAGTGGCAGAAAGATGGAGACAGTCAGAAATTTGTTCTCTGAAGTGTGTGTAGATGTACTTATGTTCTTTCCTTCTCCCCCTGTGCCCCCCCAAATCATAACTACTTCATATTTATACAGGGCTGTGACTTAAACCAGGACCAAATTAGAAACAGGCATTATCTTTGGGATTTGATTTTTGGAACAACATACATTACCCGTACTTTGGGAGCTCCACCTTAATCTCTAAGGAATTTTTTTCCAGTAAAGGAATAAAGGCCTCCTCTCCTTAAGTGGTTAAGCTTTAGGAAGCTTTCAAATTGCAGACTAATAGTATTATGTAAGTGCTTCATTAATATCATCATAGTGTGCATCCCCCTTTGAGGCAACAGAAGGAGGGAGGGAGGGAACAACTGTCAGCAAACGCTGCTGGCAGTGGTAGCGAGGGGCTCGTGGAGCAGGACACAGCTCCTGCCTGTTCCGTAGTGTTCACCGGGTTTCTCCCAAGGGCTTTTCTTAGGGGAAGAAAGCACCACCCAAGGATGTCGGTGCCAGGCTCAGGCGTGGGCAGCTGCCTCACCTCCCAGGTCTCGCAGCGTCCCCAGCACGCGTCCGTTGTCACCCGCAGCCCCCTGCAGCCGGGCTTCTTGGCCAGGAAGGTGAACTCACGCACAGCGCAGCCGATGAAGGTCCGCAGGTCGATGGCGGAGGACTTGGGCATGCCACCGCAGCCGGTCGGCAGCAGGAGGAGCAGAGCGCCCAGGATCACGCCGTGCAGCTTCATGCTGAGGCAGAAGGGAGAGAAGCGGAGGGCTGGGAGAGCCAGCGCAGTCCAGGAGACAAGGAGTGCAAGTGCACAGGCTCAGCTCCAGAGCTGGGATGCCCCTTCCTCCCCTCAGAGACCCTCTTTCCCATCCTCATTCAGCCCAAGAGAAGATGGGCAGGTGTACAAGTGAGGGGTCACCTACTCCCCAAAGGGGAAAGTCTTAGTGAAAGGTCTAAGAGAAAGCAGCAGCATGTAGACTTTCCCTGAAGAGCAAGGGGGTTTGCCTGGAAGGGATAAAGCCACCTGCCAGTGCCTCGGACACCCTGAAATCTCCATATCATCCGTTTACTTTGCAGCAAATGCCCTCCTACCACCCCAGCTGGGGTTGCCCTGAGCTTGCACCAGAAAAGGGGTTGGACAGGCCTTTGGTTGCTCTCTCAGTGTACATCCATGTTGTTGGCTGAAGACCCTGGCAGTACTGGCCCCAGCAGGGTCAGTCTGGAAGGGCTCTGTCACCTACACCTATGGGAGATGGCAGATTCCCTACATCTCTGCATGAGGAGGAAGAAGCATGGCTGCAGCTCCATGCGTTCAGCAAGGTTAGGGCTGCAGGTTCCATCAGCATTTTGACAAGAGAACTTAATCCTGGTTTTATCCCACTTACCAGGAGCCAAGCATCCCTGAATTTGTGCTGTAATATCTGGAGAGAGATCAGCACCTCCCAAAAGCGTTACTGGAGTTGCCATTGCCAATACCCAGGACGCTGGATTCCCACGGGTCCACTCCCAGGGCTACAGCCGGAGAGGCAAATGCAACTGTCGGCTGTCCCTCCTGCCCACTGCCCTACCAGCCAGCTCAGGCCCAACCAGGGCTGCTAAGCCAGTGAACGGAGCTGAGTTGATGGAGGGGACATGACCAGTGTGAGTGGAGGAGGTGTGAACTCCTCATTCCTTCCAAGCAGCCCAGCATCGGCCAAGTCCCTCTGGTATTTGCTGCCTTTCTATAACAAACCATCAGTGAAGAAAGCAACCAGTCTCTCTGGAAAACTTCCTCTGACAAAAAAAAGAGAGAGCTGGAAGGTAGCTCTAAGCCACGAGATCCGTTTTACACCTGACATACTTACACTGCGTTTTAAAATGTGCACCTAGAAAGCCCAGACTTGACATTTAACTTTGAGAAAAGTCAGCTACTGCGTAGGGCACGCCAACTTGTGTGTGCTGGGCTGTGTCCTCAGCTGGGTAACATTTAAGTTAAATGAACTTGGCCTGCCTCTTGCCTGACTGATGTTTGAGTTTCCAGACTCCTGTTAAACCAAATGCTTTAGATTTGCTAAATCAGAGTTGGAGATGAGCACATGAAATTTGCTACAGTGAACCCTTCACGTATGCGGCCCTGCATACACTATAGTCTTATCTGTGATTAAATGAGTGGATGTTTATGTATAAGCTCCTACAGAGTAAAACCAAAAAAGCTAAAATTCCTTATTTTTAAAAGCAGACATCTGAGAGTAAAAGAGACAAACCAGTACAAATTGAACACTTACTTTTTGCCACTTTAGCAAAACCTGCTGCTTTATTCATGAGCCGGAGCCATGACACAGAGCAAACACAGAAGCACACTCACCTAACTTGCTGGAGTCAGGTCGCCTTTTGCAGTTTTAAATTGCAGATGGTGTTTCGGACGTCAGAGTGAGCAGCAGGAGACCTGCACAGCAATCTTTGTCAGCTTTGTGCTCAGTAGATCTCCCCAGCAGCTGCTACTGGGTTGCTTAATTGCTCAAATTTATAGAAAGGGTCTTGTCAATCAAGGCAAGACCGAGGCAGATCCTTACTTGAACTACCCAAGGCATCAAAATCATTGACTGTAAAACAAGCCTCTCCTTTCCAACAGTGACTAGCTTAAAGGGTATTGTTTCATAACATCAGCCCAGAAACAAAAGGAGGATCTTGGTGAGTGAAATAATGAGCATGCACTGGGGCAAAATGGATCTTCTCTTCCGCAGTGGAACTGCAACACCTTTACAAGGAGACTGGAGACTGGCTTTGAAACCATTGTTATCCCCCAATTAACAAACCCTGAGTAAACACCCTGAAGGGAGACTTTCCAAGTATTTGTGTGAACAACTCCCTGAATTTCTGTCAGCTACATAAGACCTTTTTTTACTCGATTGCTCTGTACAAGCAAGGGCAAGGAATGGGGGGGTAGAGGATGTGAGTTTGCAAGAAAAGCAAACGTTGTCTAGACGAGCCAGGCAGCTGTCACGCAGGTAGGCACCGCTGTGCAAAGGGAATGTGGAAATCATGTCCTTGCCTTCATCACGCAAACACAATTTTCAGCTATTCATAGGACAGAAAGAAACTGAGGAACCTTGGTACGACGAAAAACTTGACAGCCAGTGGATTCATAAAAGACGAGTGGGTGAGAGAAGTGCAGCCAGAAACTCATGCAGCAACCTCGAGAAAGTCACCTCCCTTCCCTGGACCGTGAATATCCAGCACCAGCTGCTCCAATACCAAGACACATCCAGAAAAGGCAGAGTAAATGTCCGTCACTACAGACCCCGGGGCTGATGCTGTTAAAGGTGGCCACAGCAATAAATCCTACCCTAGGAATAAAAAACACGGAGAAAAAGTAGATTTAAATAAATTCTATCCTACGATGTTTTAGAGAAAACCAAAAAAAACCAAACCAGCATCTGTTGATGTCCAGAAAATGCATCTCTTACCAAATATGAAACAGTGATTACTCTAAGTTTGTTATTTTCCCTTACAGTTATCAAATTAATACTTCTGGTGGGTTGTATTCAGGCCTTCTGTCGTATGAGCTATGAAAAACAGCAAATGGACATTGAGGAAATTGATATTGCAGCATTTGGGACCAAACACAGTGTATTACATAGGTGTTCTCCCTTTTTCAAGGTGAATAACCCATGGCTCATGTCCCTGTTTCGCTTCCAAGGTCAATAGCCTACACTTGGTGATGCAGCAAGACTCGTATTCAGGCTAACACCTCCTGGGAACCCACAGACCACTTACTGCCCTTGTCTTTTTAGCTTGGAGCAACCACGGCTCAACTTTTTTCATTTTACTATGTGTCCCTGCTATTTCCCTGGTCAGTGAATTACACTGGGCACGTGCGCACAAGCGGTCATGTAAAAGGCTGGTTATTCACCCCTGAGAATGGCCTTTTCTGTCTAAATTAGAAGAGGGTGACCTTAAGAGGAAAGCAAGTGTTTTGTCCACAGTCAAGCAAGACTTGCACTGACATCTCGGGACATTTTGTTTAACCAAGAGACAACTGTCCCCTCTTTCAAAATGACACATGGCAGCAGAGCTTCACCTCAGCTTACGCAAAGCGCTGGCGTCTGCACCAACACAACCGAATCAGACCACCACCCTAACTCTTCTCCTCCTTTCACCTTCTCCCTCCCCACAGTTACTCCTCTTAACCACGTATTCTAACGCAGCAGCCCAGGAGGTCCCTATCAGGAGTACAAAGACGCTGTCCTACAGCCTGCGGTGCAGGGCTAAGCCTTGCACACCAACGTAGGGAAGCACCAAGCGCGGGGCATTCTCGAGCCATGAGTCTCCATCAGTGAGCCTAGTCCATTCTTCCAACCTCAGCTTCCAGGCCTTCACAAACACGTCCTGAAAGCTAGAAAAGCAGCAGACATTACGTGGTATTACCCTCATGACGTAGGAAACAACTGCTTCAGAAAATTAACATACTAGAAAGCTAAACCAAACCAAACCAAAAAACAACAACAACAAAAGGAGGTTTTTTTGCAGGAGGAAGGGAAGAACAAAGTAAAGAAGAAACAGGTATTTTGCTAAAAATCTGAAAACTGTCCTGAAGTTGGGAGGGACATGATGTTTAAGAGCATTCCTAGTATTCTCGCTCCTTATTATTCACAGTTTTACTGGCAGCAAAGGACTCCAGCTTCAAGTGAAGACCTATCGGGTGGGACATTGCAGGAGGAAACTTTTTTGTTGTAATTTTCACTTATCAAAAATAAAGCCAGAAAAGTAATCTTTAAAGGCTTTTAAAAAATGTACAGTTTAAAAGTTCCCGACTTGCAGAGAAAGCAGGTAAAAGTGAAAATATTGGTCATAAGTTTCCTTTATTTTATTCTGGAAATGTGCCAGGAAAACTCAGCCCAAGATTAGAGACAGGGACAGAAAATACATGCCAGATGGCAGGTCGACCAGTTTTGACAGATCCCTCTTCTTCTATGGATTAGAAAAACAGGTGCTGGACTTACGGTTTGTGCAATTGAGCTTGGATTCACTGACTTCAGCTAACCAAGATTCTCTTCTCCTGTCTGCATTTGCACTGAATAACCTCATAAACTAAAATGAAAGACAAATTGCAGACTGACCCCTCTCACTTATTTTCTCTTCTGACAATCCTGGCTGTTCTTGGGGCAGATACCAATTTCCAAAGGATTTGCATCACGTCTCACAAAAAACTTGAGTGCTGGCTTTTTCTGGGCAGCGGTTTCTTGGCTTATCGTTTTGTAGGTTTTTTTTTGGGGGGGGGGGTTGGTGTGGGGTTTGTTGGGTTTTTTTTAAGTTAATTAATAAATACACCATGTACACCTACACTTTGTCTTCAGCATACATAGGAAAATTTAAAAGCTGCATAATCTTTCGTTTCCTGGGTCTTTGAAATGTATTTGAAATAAAAGATGACATACAGATAAGACTTCTGAAGATAAGTATGTCCACCATTTTACCTGCCTGTTCTCCTTCTGAGACACCCAGAAGGAGACAGAAACAGCTTGGCCAGGGGCACACATCTAATGAGGATTGAGCACCCACTTCCCCATTCAGAACTCTGAGCTCTCAGCCTAAAACATAGGGCACTCCACAGTGAGAAGAGACATTGGACGTGCATAGGGTCTTCACTGCCTCTGGATGCGGGCTCATCCTGTCTTTCCTGATCTCTTCTCCCATGCACAGAAAATAGAGCAACACCAGGTGCTGTTCACTTCAACACCACATAAAGCTCCAAAATCA